GTGTGGAGGGAGGTGCAGGGTCTGTTCAGCCCAGTAGCCTGTAACAGAGACTATTGAGTTGAGGGTGGATGGGAGAGAACTTCAGAGCAACAAACCCTGCTGTACCTGGGCAACCATCAGCTCAGAAACATCTTTGGGTGGCCTTGATCATGCAATCCAGATAATTGCCTGGGCAACCATAGCTGCACGTTGGAAATACAAGGTTATAATTCACAGAAGGAGAATGAAGTTGCCTGAAGAGAAGGAGAGCTTAAAATATTGAAGATAAAATCCAAGCACATTTCTACCTTCTGTCTCATTATGTAGTGGAAATGCTCTGTGTTAAACTGGTTCATGGAAGCAATAATTTCTAGTCTGTAGTTTTCCCTCAGATCTGTAAAAATAAGTGTTAAAAGTCATGAGTCTAAGGGTAGACATCTGAGTGCAGGTCCCAGGAGACCCAGGTGGGACAATGAACATGAAACAAGTGTCCTTTTTTGTTTGGCAAAACGTGACCTGGAGAAGAGGACCTGTTGGTGTGCTCCTGGCAGGTCTGGTGCTCAACCTTCCAGCCAGGAGATGCGGTATCTTGAGAGGACACCGACAGTTTGGTCTAGTTGATGCCATTACTGTTGGGTTCTCTGAAAGGCCCTTTTGGTGTGTTTGGGAAGCTCTGTCAAATCAGTCCTTCCCAACTATAAAAATACAAGCCTTTCTTGAACCTGGTGGTGGCTGAAGAAGGTGTAAATTAAATGTGCTGTGCAAGCCATCAGGGGCCAGGTACAGGGTTTTTAGCTGTATCTCATGTGGAGAGGCTGGAGAGGGCCCTTGCAGCCCATCTGCTGCTGTGCCATGTGGCCTCTGTTTTGCAAGGAAGGGCAGGTTGTGCAGGCCCTTTGTGCAGTGCATATATGGAAAGCTCCTGTTCATGTACCACGTTCCTAGGGTGTGGGGAGTCTCAGGTGTGACTATAGCTTGTGACTTTGTTTCTTTTCTCTCTTGCAGGTCTACTGCGTACAACTTCAATCCCAAACCTGCAAACCCCAGTTTTCTCAGTCATTCCTTGGTGGAACTACTTAACCAGATCAGCCCTACCTTCAAAAAAAACTTTTCCGCTCTGCAGAAGAAACGGTAGCAGCACTTTTTCCTCTCTGGTTGCCTTGAGTAGTCTGTGGTGAAGTTGCTTGGTGAGGCTCAGTTATGTGGCTGGTTCTGTGGGAACTGGATGCCACTCTGATATACCAAGGATTGCAAAGCCTGCTTTCTCTGAGCTCACATCGGGGTGGGGTGGCTGGGACATGTGTGTCTACGTAGCAGGGACCACAAAGCACCTGGCTAAATGTCGTGGCAGCACCCTGCTGTGACTGGCTTTCCCTCGCTCAAAACGGAGCTGGTGTGACCTGTCTGCTCTTGTTCAGCATGGCAGTAAAGGCCAGTGGAAGCCCAGAGCCCTGATCTTTATCTACTGGATGGTTTCTCCTGGCTGTAGCTCCCAGATGGCTCTTGCCTACAGCATGAATGTTTACAGATTTCAGTCCTGCCTAAAGCAAAGGGTAGGGGGGACAACAGCTTTCCATTGCCATGGGAGTGTCAGTTGTGGGGCTCACCTGGAATTCAACACTCTCTGTCCCTGCTGAGAAACTGAACGTGTGGGGCAGTTTGTGCAGTGGCAGTGAAAGCCCAGAGATGGACTGCAGTGTTCATAAAAGGGAAACTGCTGATATATTGACCAGCTCCTGAGCTATGGGTCTCCTTGCTGAGTCTGTGTGTTGGCTATGTGCCTTGTAGGAGTGACTCCCAGCTAGCCAGGCAGCAAGGAGTTAATAGGAAGCATGGCCACATGCTGCAGCAGTGACTGGGCTGGTAACCTGATCAGTAGGTACTGCTCCCCTGAATCAAAGAGACTGAAGCGGAAAATACCAGGGAAAGTAACACATGAGGGCTTTGTCTAGACTGATGGTGGAGAGAGAATAATTATTTTAAACATGTCCGTGCATGTTCATTTTCTCTAATTTCCTCTTGCTCCTAGAATAATAATAATAATAAAACAATCATGTATTGTTTTTATTCTCCTGTCCTTGCTGCAGGGACCATTTATTCTGCTCCAGGACAGTGGGTCCTGCGCAAAGCCTGTCATTCTTTAGAGTACACTTAATGAACTGCCTCGGCTCTGCAGGGTGCAAATTGACAGGCACATTGTGTGGCTTTCAGGAGCTCTGCTTCTGCTCTCATTAAGAAGATGAAAGTGACACTAGACAAGGGCTGGAAATTAGCAGTGGCCTCCAGCCACCATTGTGACTATCTGGCCATTTAAAAATGATTATATTGTATTGCTTCTTGGGCCAGAAGTAAATACAGATGAGACTCCAGCACCTGCTGAGAACAGATTACACAAGAGGCCATTCGGTGACGCTTGTTTTTTCACTTCATTAGTGGGTGTGTGCTGTGGTCTGGTTTTATAGTGCAGCCCATATGGACTGGTGTGAAAGCTGAGGGCCAGTCTGAGGTGGCCAGCTGGGAGTGGGTATCCTCTGCCTCTGAATGCAGAGGGTGATAGGGAATCTCCAGTGATACAACTGAGGATAGAACTCAAGAAAGGGGATGGGGAGAGCCCAGGTCATTCTCCAGACTGCTGTTGAGAGGTGCCCATGCCAATCAGTCATGTTAAATGGAAGCCCACCGCGCTGCTTGTGAGGCCTGGTCTTGTTCTGTTTGTCAGAAGCTGGTGTTGTAGCAGAGGGAAGATTCTCTTGGAATAGAAAGAAATCTTCCTTTGGAAAATGTCTAATTGTTTTCACTCCCAACCTAGGGTTCAGAGACACCCTTTCGAAAGGATAGCCACTCCTTTCCAAGTGTACAGCTGGACGGCTCCGCAGGCAGAACATGCCATGGACTGTGTCCGGGCAGAAGATGCTTATACTTCTAGACTGGGCTATGAAGAGCACATACCTGGACAGGTATTGGTCTTGCTTTGCCTGAGAACACTGGCAAGAGTTTTGCTGCCAGCTGTGCTGGGAACTGGTTAACTTCTAACAAGTAGACCTCTGGTACTTGTGGAAGGGTTTTGCTCATCAAGGGAAAACTTATGGGAGTCCTTGTTCTTGACAGTGCCCTTGACTATAGGGGCTGTGCTGCCCAGGCTGCAGCTCCCTGAGCATGTGAAGGTCTGAGAGGAGCAGTGTCTGCTTGGGTGTTTATAAATTCCATGTCTCTGCTCTGATGAGCACGTTGCACAAACCTGGAACAGCTCTTGTGTCTCTGAGCAAACTATTCCAAATGCTTTAGTTGCAGCTTCACAGCATAAGATCTTGCAGGCTGTGAGTAGTGCACTGCCCGTGGGTGGCTGTCTGCCTGTGGTGTCACCACATCACAGTGTGCTGGTAATGAAACCTGCACCGTGCCCCTCCAGAGCCAGCAAGCTGCTATTTCAGTTAAACTGCTTTGCATAAGCTGGGCTAATGTAAGATTTATCCCAAACTGCTGTTGAATAAAGTCCGCTCACGAGGAGTGTTCAT